GAAAATGCATGTTAATGTGCTTGCTTCAGGCTGTAATGACTGCCATCTTTGTAAGATCTATAACACTCTTATTATCAGTGAGAATCTGTATCAGAGATGTAGTGATGAAGTCAAGCTCAATCATGAGATTCTGAATTTATGTTGCCTCACAGACTGCCTCACTAAGAGCCACATATTCAGTCTCATTGAAACTTAGAGATATACAAGATTGCTTCACTGAATACCATGAAATCAGGCTGTCTGCAAGCTTAAAAACATAGCTGAATGTTGATTTCCTATCACCATTCAAGAGGCTGACTCAATTGGAATCCGAGTAGCTGAAGAGTAGGTAGGAATCATCAGGGAAATCAGAGATAATGAAAAGATTGGTAGAAATGATAGGAATGGAAGAAATGAAAGGAACAGACCCCTCATACGGGCTGCATTCATAGAAAATACCCAGATTCATGATCCCTTTCAAATAATGTATAATGTGTAATAGAGCCTTTCAACATTGAGGTGTTAGATCAATGTTTCATTGAGTGAGTAGTAAGACAGCACAAGTAATATCAGAATGTGTTTTAACTGCAAGATATTGCAAGCAACTCACATCATATTGATATTACTGAATTGTGAAATCAGCCTCTTTCTCAGATATAGAGGAATCATCAATGCAGAATTCATTCTTCATTGATATTCTGATGACAGCTGCATCATCAAGGTAGAAATCTTCAACAAGGCATTTGATATATTGACAATGTATCAAATTAACTCTCTTGTCTGAACAATTGATCTTCATACTCAAATACTTGATTGACTGATGTAGATTCTTGACTTTCAATTTCTCACTGAGTATACTCACTAGTCAATCAGCATTCTCAGAAGCTTCGGATATGATGTTGAGATCATCAACATAGATCATTATATAGAGGTGACATCTGAATGTATGATATCAGAGTGCTGGATCATGAGTGCTGACTGTAAATTCAAGATCACTCAACAGAGCTGTTAAGTAATCATATCAGATCTTCACTGCAGGGTTCAGACTGTATAAACTATTCTCAACTGTGCAGACAAGTGTTTTCAGTGAACCTGTCTCAAATTCAGTGAATTGTCTCATATAAATCTTCTTAGTGAGGTGTTCATGAAGATATATCATCACTATATTCATCTGATAGAGTGTTCAACTGCATAGTGCTGCTATTGCAAAAAGAATACAATTGACAGTATCAGTGATGACAGGAGTGTAGGTCTCTTCTCTAGAATTCTTCTTAAGTCAGTTATCATAAATCACTCAATGCAATTTCCTAAGAATATCATCAGAATCAGCATTCAGGTCCGCAGGCCTATCTTTCTCAAGAAACACTCAATGGCCTGAAGCAATCAGTTCACCCCTCAGAACATCAGATCTAGGGATCAAACTTCATGTATTGCATCTCTTCAGGTCAGTAATCTCGCATTGCATGGACTTCTTTCAATAATCTCCTACCTTCTCTGGCTGAGATGTGGCATTCTTGTAGGACTTCGGGAGGTTATCTGTAATGAAACTTGAAGTGTAAGTAGCCAGCAATTTCGCAGGCTACAACCATGTAGAATTCAGATCATCAATGTCAGAAGCATCTTCATCATCAATCAGATGAATATCAGGTTTCAGTACATCAGCATTATTAGTGAGTGTCACAGATGTAACAACTGGTTTCAATTTTTCAGTGATCAGAAATCTCACATCACTACTGACAATAATCTTATCAGATTCAGAATGCCATAGGCGATATATTGATGTGTCACTGAATTCAATGATATGATAGGAATCAGCATGTGAAGAGAGCTTATTCACAGGCTGCTGGGATTCATGCAAGTGAACAAAAACCTCTGCACTCAATCAGTGAAAATGTCTTATATTCAGCAGGGTATTCATAAGTGCACATCAAGGAATCTTGTGTGAACTTGAAATCACAGAAGTCTCTGCAGTAGAGGGTCAAAATTTCAAGTTGTAAAGAACTGTAGATATGAGAGTATTATTGATTATTACAATCACTGTCTCTAGAACATCTGCTCAGAACTTCTTAGAGAGATTTTCTTTCAAAAGAGCAGCTCTAACCTGTCTTATGATAGTATGAATCCCACATTCAGAAACATCATTCTGATGTGATGAATGTGATGCTGTTGATTCTCATTTGATATCATATGAATTCATAACTGTGTGCATACATGTGGATCAGAAAACATCATCAATATCAGTCTGTAGAAAAGCAGAGACTGTATACTCAAGATTACTCATGAATCTGAGCCACAACTCAAAGTATTGAACAGTCTCATTCTTGAACTTTAAAAAATATACTCAACAGTAGCAAGTCATATCACAGATGATAAGCATTCAGTATTTGATCCTCTGGCGGGACTCTAAGAGGTGATCAGAGAGGTCTTTCAATGTACATTCATCACCTGCAAGGTCAATATGAACCTTCTCAATGAGTTGAATAGATCTAGGCATTGATGTTTTCAAATAATCTCATATCATACCTGCCTTGACACATTTCTTGCAAAAGAACTTAGTCTTAGAACTCTTAATTATGACTTCAGTATGAGAATCCTTGACCATAGCAATTATAGCATCAGTGTGAATGTGACCGAGGTCACAGTGCCAGTTCAAAAGAGTCTTTGATATTCTTGTATTCTTGAGACCTGTATTCAGAACTGTAGAATCAATGTTATCAACAGTAGTGACAGCAGTCACAGAAAGATCAACTTTTTAATCAAAATTGTACTCATGAGACATCATCACAATGTACTTGACTGCTCTGTTCGGATAATTGAAATCCTCATTGAACTTCTGTTCATTGATCTTATATATGTTGTTCTGAGCGGTTCAGACTGTATGGAAAATAATGCTGTTCAGGGCTCTACAAATGAAAAATGAGAGAATAGTGAAAGACAATGTAAATCAGAATCTCTGATCTTCAAGCTTCACAAATGAGAGCAGGTTAACTGTAATATTAGAAATATAGTGAACATTCTGCAAGTTAACATCATCACTCTCAACCTTCAAGGTGACAGTTTCAATCTTCTTAATAAACTCAGTTCTCTCAGTCACAGAATTGACAGAGATATTATCATTAAAAGATTTGATGTTTAAAAAAGAATGAAGCTCACTCATCATATTCAGGCTTGCACATGTGTTCAAATATCAAGATCTAGAGAATGGTTTTCCAGTGACTGTGGAAGAGAAATAGAACTCAATCTTCATAATTGCTGCATTTGCTGCTAGTTGAGAACTTATTAAGTCATTCTTCTTCTCTTCCTTCTTGTCATTCTTCTTTTTCTTTTTATCAGGGTGTAAGATGAAACACCTGTCAACAGTATGATCATATCTTCTGCAGTGAGTGCACTTTCATACAGGTGTGCTTTTGTCCTCATCTTTGTCCTTATCTTTGTCCTTATCTTTGTTCTTTTTCACAGTCACAGAATCAGCCTGAGGCTGCTTTTTTCACTCAGTGATGATCTTCTTGAATGTACAATTGATCAGTTGCTTCATCAAATCATCAATATCAATGTTGACAATGAGTCTCTGGCCAGTGGAGAAAAACTCATTCAAATATGTCTTGACAAACAGTCTTTGATAATCCTGCAGGTTGTTGAGAAAAAGATTATAATATATATTCTCAGTGCTCTGACAGAGCTTCTTGTAACAGACAATAAGATAGCAGAAATATCTCTGAAAAGTAAGATAATCATTCTCCTTGACTTATAATTTTGTCAATTTCTTGAAGACATTAACTCATTTCTCTGCCAGTGATATCATATATTTCACATTGATCTTATTTCACAGGGCTGCAGCATTGTCAGCTTTCAAGGTTTCAATAGTAATTCAAACATTTTTAACAAGACTTGATAGTATACATCTATATAGAGACTTAGAACAGATTCTTCACTTCTCAGAGTTGATATGATGTGTAAAAGAGAATTCTTGTTGAGTTCTCAATAGAATGTTGATTTCATCAATAACTTTCACATCAGTTAATATATCAACATGCCAGGCTTCATAATTAGAGTCATTAAATGTGATCACTGATTTGATGTTTAATGTATATTTAACTTTCTTCTGATATTTCTGCAACTCATCTCTCATAGTGTCTCTTTATACAGGTGTAGTGAGATGTTAAGTGATTTCAGCTGCAGTTATTTGATTCTGTAGCATTATCTGCATAAGATTCATAAGATTGCCTGCGGTGCAATAGATAGATTGATTCGAATCATCATTAAAAGTCAGCATTTCAGAGATGAGAGACAGTGAAGAATTCAATGAGTTGAAATGAACAGATTCTACAGATGAATGTTGACATTGACTCTGCTTTTCTTTGTTCTGAAGTTTCTCTGTTGTCTCATCATTATCAAATTCCATACTCTGGTGAAAACTGACCTCAGCCTCATCTTGCAAGTCAGGAGCTTTCTCATAATGAGTGATTATTCTATCAATAAGTCATCTAGTGAAGCATGTGATTCTGAACCTTGAGCTGAACTCTGAAGTAACAGATGTATCACTTATATCAAGATAACTCTGCTTCTTCTAGATGTGTAAAAAAAAAAAAAAAAGTGATATTCTTCACAATGAAGAACACACTTTCTCAAAAATATAAAGTATATGAATCTGCTGATTGACAGATTCAGAGAAAATGAAATATCTCTAATAAGAAGTAAGAGTCTTTTCAAAAAAGATGAACTATTCATGTCAAAAATGTTGATATAATATTCTAAAAAGAAAAATGTGCCATCCGGGCTATAACCTGTAGGATAGTTTAAGATTGTATTGATAGATCTATCTACAGGAACATAATATAGTGGTGGGTCACGTGATCTAGTGGGATCGCTAACCGCAACGGCCGTAAGGGCCAACACTTCCTGCGTTGTGTGGAAACGAGCGTTAGGTGGTTGATTACGTTACCTAATCCGCTGTGATCTGTGAAGTAGTCGTTGCCCCGCCAACCAACACCACCATCCTTATTTTCATTCAAAAGAGACAGCCTCAGGTGAGAATTAGTTTACATCTATTGTTCTCCCTCCCCCCCCCCCCCCGGGCAATAAACCTCTTCTGTGTTGAATCACTGGCTCACCCTCTAAACAAAGGCAGCGATATGCGATAGCAGCAGTGACTGATCATTATTTTAATTATTCCTTAACGACGCACGGACGAATCGAACCGGGTATATACGAGTAACTGACTATTTTTGCGGGTGCGTGGGTTTGGTTTTGTGTGTATATAGCGAGGAACTAGGAGAGAGACATAAACGGGAAGGGGGAGGCATTGCTGCGGGAACTCGAGTTGGTTTGATTTGATGTTCAAAACATACATACATCATATAAGGGTGAAAGCTATCGCGCACCCGACACATTCCGCACAGCGAGAGCGGGGGAAAATAATTAAGAAAGCAAGGGAAAAGGGAAATAGGAAATAGGAAATAGGGAAAGATGGCACGACTCAGCCGCGCGCCGCCTAAGGGTGTGGTGGTGGATATTAGAGAGGATTCCGACGTTGGGGATACAGATGGCTCCTCCGCCTACGAGAAGAACCGGGGGAAGAACGCTTCGAGGACACCACCTAGGGCTAGGCGTGGAGGTATCACGCGTGCGTTGAAGGCGGTTGTAGCTACAAACGCAACTATAGATACTGGCGCTGGCAGAGGTACAACGGCGAAAGTGCACGGAACAAAAGCAAATCCGAAACCCTTGCGCGGTACTAGAAGTCCTACGAAGACGAGAACAGATGCACATAGCAAACCCACGGCCTCCACAGCCTCCGACGACGACCATCATGATGATAGAGACACCCCGTCCCCACCCCGCCCCACAGCGCAAACACCTCGAAGCAGCGGTCACCACAGCCAACGACGCCAGCTAAGACCCCGACACACGAACTCGCTCCTCATGCCGTTCCCCGCGGCGATTGGAAGGTATGATGGCCTGACGCCGGGAAGGGGATTGGGGGATGTCGAGAATGCGCCGTTGCCGGGGCAGTTGGAGGAGTATAAGTATGGGGCTGGGGCTAGGGTTGGGGAGGGGAGGAGGGATAAAGAGGGGGGGAATGGCAGGGGGAGTAGTGGTGGTGGTGCTGATGGCGCTGGCGTGAGGGAAGTGAAGGAGATGACGGGGAGACATGAATGGAGGGAGCAGGGGGGCGTTGAGTCGGAGGAGGAAGAGAAAGAGAAAGAGGAAGAAGAGGAAGAAGAAACTGATGAATTTGACTCGTTGGATGATTTTATCGTTGGGGACGATGAGGATCTCAGTTATTTCGACGAATCCAGTTTGACTGGGAGCGATGGAGATGGAGATGGAGATGAAGAGGAGGATGAATATGTCGCCAAACCCCGCTCGTCGCCCAGGAAGCTTTTTAGGGGATTACGGCCAACACCAGCATCAATAACACCGAAAGCACTGTTTCGAGACAAAGGGGTTGTTGCTCGTGGAGGGAATAACACAGACCCTACTAGAACTGGTGTTGGCGGTGGTGGTGTGAATTCACATCTTTCTGTGAATGATGTGAAGGCGAGATCCAACAGGTCAACACCACACTCTTTGTTTGATAGCAGTAGCGATGATAGCGAGGATGACAGCGATGAGCAGAATGTGGTGATTCCATTGTTGCCGAAGAAATTCGATCTGAAGCCTCCTGCATCGCTTACTGGCTCAAAAAAACCAATCTCTCCGAAGAAAAATAGGGGCATTGATCACGAATCTATTGGTGGAAGTATGGAAGGGTAAGTGTTTCTTTCATTTCAGCCCATACTGAGACTTTTGTTTTCACAATGAATACGAACGGCTGAAGAGAATACTTTGTAGCTCCCAGCCGTCATCCTCTTCCAGGTCAGGGGAATCAGAGAACCGGACAGCGGTCATCGTCACTCCGCCATCCAGTCCTTCAAAACTTCGCCTATACTCGCCCTCTAAAAGCAAGAGCCGGATCCCACCCACCCCCCATCGACCCAGCATAGACGCTTTCTGGAGCCAAGATATCATCAACGAATGGAACGACCAGTACTCTCCTAGGAAAATGAATACCCCACGCAGAGGTCTTGAGAGGTTCCACATATACTCAGATAACGAAGACAGTAGCAAGGGGATCATGTCCAACAGACGCTCCACCTCACCGCAGTCATCACCCTCGAAGAGCCCAATTAAAGGTCCCCCTTCGAATAAGGCCGCAGCCGCTGCAGCTGCGGCGGCAAAGAAGGCCCTCGCAGCTCAGAAGAAAGAGTTCGACGAGAAGAAAATACGGATGGCGGAGGAGTTCTTTAAGGCTCTCGACGACGCTGTGACGGGTGGGGAGATACAGAAACTCGCTGCAGCTGCGGGAGGGGTGAAGATTATCTGGAGCAAGACCCTAAACACTACGGCTGGCAGGGCAAATTGGAAGCGCGAGACTGTCAGGCAGAAGCCGTCTTTAGTGCCTGTTCAGCAAACGGAATCGAAACAGCAGGCGACATCGTCATTATTATTATCTGCTGCTGCCTGTCATGAAGATAACGTTTCAACGACGACGACCACTGCAGCGGATAGCAGCAAGTCAACACTCACGGGTACATCAAGCAGCACCGGCAGCAACACCAGCGCCGGTAGCAAAATCAATGCAATCCCTCTAACTCCGGCCCTCCTCGCCCCCATACGCCACTACGCCTCCATCGAACTCGCCTCAAAAGTCATAGACAGCGAAGACCGCCTTCTCAACACCCTCGCGCACGAATACTGCCACCTAGCCAACTTCATGATCTCTAATGTGCGCAATAACCCGCACGGCATCAGCTTCAAGCAGTGGGCGGCCAGGTGCGAGCAGGCGCTAGCTGCGCATCCTCTCTATGGCTGTGCAGATGGGGGTACGGGTACGAAGACGAAAATTCGCATTACGACGAAACACTCGTATGTCATCCATTATAAGTACTTGTGGTGTTGTGTGGAGTGTGGACATGAGTATGGGCGGCATTCGAGGAGTATTGATGTGAAGAAGAGTCGGTGTGGGAGGTGTAAGGTGGGTGAGTTGGTGCAGGCTCGGCCGAAGCCTAGGGGGATGAAGGGGAAGGTGGTGGGGCCTGGTGTAAAGGGCATGGGGGCTGTTGAGGGGGTTACGAAGTCAATGGGAGGGGTGCATTTGGATATGTAGTGATGGAGTCGTCATGTACGTACATGCGTGCGCATTCCATCCATTTGTATTGGTATTGGTGTTTGTGTTGTTTCGTGGAGATTTAAGGTGGACCCTATGGATGGATATTTGGTACGTATTCTCGGGCTTGTGATGGATTGAAATGCCGGTTTGGAAAATGTCTGTTGATATGATATGTGAAATGATGTGTACGGAACGGGGATTTTTTTAGTAGGGGAAGAGTTAACACTAGAAGGTCTGGCCTTCACGTCGATCGAGGTGACGCAGTTGCATGCTGTACATTATTTGAACTGCTCCCTCCCTTGTTGAAGGTGTATGTTTTATGAGAGAGACGGACGGGGTCTTGATCTTGTTGTACTCTTTTGTACATAGCATGTTCTGCAGGAATGACTGGTCCATATTTCCTTGCTTCCTTTAATGAAGTTTCAAATATTGCGTTCTTTTAAATTCTATCTTCTCTCCATTTGCTAAAAGGGTGCGGTAGGATTTTATCTGATATCATTCATTGTTGCTCGACTTCCCTCGACGAAACTAAAAGAAACAGGTGATATACTCCGAGAATGATGCGATTTCAATCGTCCCCCTATTCACTATCATCCTCGTCCTCCTCCTCCTCATCATCATCATCATCCTCATCCTCCTCCTCACTATCCGCATTCACCAACCACTCAATAAACGGCTCCGTCTGCCTCCTAACCCTCTTCAACCCCTCACTCGCCACCCCCCTCTCATCCGCCCACCACTGCTCAAATGCCTCCTCCTCCACCGTCTCCAAATCATACAATTCCTTCGCCATAAACAACAACACAGTCTCCCCGCGACTCCTCTCCACCAACTCCTGCTGAATCAATAATAGCAAATCAACCTGATCGGGCTTCCGCACTGGCTCGTCCCGATCAAACACAATCCGCTCCAGGATATCCTTGTATTTGGTAAGGACCTGCTTGACGGCATCGCTGGCGCTGAGCGAGGGCTGCGAGGGCGAGGGGGAGGGCGCGTCCATGAGTTGCTGGATGCGTTTGAGGAAGGCGGTCACGACAGCGCGGCGCACCTGGTGCTCGGAAGCGTTGGCGCTCATGCGCAGGCCGACGAGCTCGAGCTGCACGACGTCGGCGCTGAGGCCGTCGCGGAGCCCGTCGTAAATGCTGTTGACGGCGTCGTGGTGGAAATGGGTGCGGTCGCCGTCGTCGTCGGAGACGGAGGCGCCGAAGCTACCGCTTCGGTAGAGGGGGGAGAAGTCGTCATCTGAGAACTCGGACGAGAGGGTGGAGATTGAGGCGGTGGAGAGGGAGAGGGAGGCCATGTTGTATACTGTATCTGTGTGGTTAGTAAATAAATCGTGTGCTGTATTGGTATAAAAAAGGGAGAAGGGAAATATAAAATAAATAGAAAATAAAATAAAATAAAATAAAAAAACAGAGGAACACCTACATAAGCCAGATGAAGAAACGCTTTCATCATCGTTCTCATCATCCTCATCCTCCTCGCGGGAGAATTCGTATCCGACGCCCCCGTCTCCAACAATTTCAGGATCACTTGGGACAGGGCCTTGTTCCCGCTCCGCTCGGGTAATTTTCATCCCTTCACGGATCGTGGTCCTGTTTGCGATTTTTACTCCGTATGAAAGTAGCGCACCATTCTCAATTCTACAGTTATCCCCCACGACCGCCTCATTGGCCACGATGGCGTGTCGGACCACAGTGCCATCCCCAACAACCACGTCATCCCAGAGATATGCGCCGTCGAGAACGACATTTTTGCCAATGCGGCAACGTCGTCCGATCACGGTGTTTTTAACTGTCGTGTGGTCCCCGAGAGTCGTACCTTGGCCGATGACGGTTTTCGCGCCGATGAGGCACGATTGTGCATACCGCACTCCTTGTTCCTGATAAATATTACCCCGTTTCAGGGTGTAGGTATGGTCAGGGACTAAATTTGTTTCTAGGCAAAGTGGATATGTATATCTCGACACGGTATCCTTGGTGACAGAGTCATAGGTCCTCAGATTCCGCACTCTGGCCGCATAATGATCCTTGATAATATGGGTGTGTATAGTTTTGCCATTCAGTTCGTAATCCTTAAGCACGCCGAAAAGGAATTGTTTTCGGGGCGTCTGGTAATCAAAGCTATCTGACCACAGCCCAAGGACCTCCGGCGTGCAGATATCGATATAAGTGTCGATCAGATCACTCCGGACATCAATTTCCGCAAACTCCTTCAACATATCCGGGTCGACAGAGAGAAAATTCGACGGCTTGGTATAAGACGACGAGTGGGAACTTCTCCGTGGCCGACATTCAATCTCCTCATAATGCAAACATCGGTCCTTGGTCGGGTCGATGAAAAAGACAGGAGCTGCGGATGGGTTCGACCTATGCGAAACATTCGTTTCTCGCAGAATCATTGTCATGATGGCGTTTTTGTCTGTTTGTCGGCGCGCGCGGTGCTTTGCCAACGCTTCTTCAATAGGGTAATTGCTAACCACATCGCCGCTGACGATGATAAAATCGCGTGTTATTAGATGCTTGCCATCCAGATCGCGCATCACGTCGCCCACGGAGGTAGAGGTCGATTTTAGGAAGATGAAGCTTTTGAATGGGGAGGAAGGAGATTTCCATTTTGAGGCACTAAAACACAAGAAATTGACTGTGGTTAGGCCCAGAAGACATCAATATAATAATAATATAATTTGTTTTCTCAGCATACTTGATATATCTCTCCACCTGCTCCGAGTGCGCACCACCGTATAGGAACACTTCTTCGACGCCGGCATTGGCAAGGAATTCCAGTGTGTATTCGATTATAGGAGTATTTGCGAGCGGTAAGAGACACTAATCGATCTCAAACGACAACAGGGAAACTCAGTCAGTTACCAAGGTCCTACCCCCACGCAAATACAGGCTCGACCACCCCGCACATAGAGATCGAACGAGCTCCATGGGAATCAGAAGGAAGCATACCCGGGGCCTCTCCAGCGTAAAGGGTTCGAATCGTGTTTCAAAGGTATCTGCCAAAACCTTTCGGGGGCAAGTGAGTCAGTGATTATTACTTTGGTTGTACGAGAAGAATATTGCAGCTTGCGCACAAAACCAACTCCAAAGAGAGTAAATGTTCAACATACAACAGCCTGAAGCGCCTCCTCCCTCTCCTCTTCAGCTGCTTGTGATTTCTGTCTGGCAGCCGCAGCGCCTCCGCCGCTTTTCGACTTCGGGCCCATACCTACCCGCCAACGTTACGTGCTCCTGGGGTTAGTCTGGTGGCGGGAATGAGAGAAAGCTGCTGTTATTTAATGAAAATGAAAAAGCGAAAGTGCAACACAAAAATATCTTTATAGAATAGATTAATTCCGGTCAATGGCTATCCCTCAATCCTATTTCCCCTCTCTTGTCTGTCGTCATTATTGTGCCGGAATCTGTGACTCGTTGCAATTTTTTTGATACTGTCGCTGCACGGCCACATTACCCAGAGCTTATATAAGCCAACCATACACGTGATTTCTCTGCTCCCTCGAAGGGTCCCGATGCAGTGATGCACAATGCACAACAATAATAATGCACAGGAGAACACATCATCTAACTAAAAAAGATGGAATCGCCCCCAATAATAATGCGAGAGGAGAAAAGGTCAATGCTGGACCCCTTGATGTGGCAAAAAAGAGAAGAAAAGGAAACCAGTGTCTTGAATTCCGCATTACCTTTCTTTATCCACACTGCACCGGTGAGATCCGTTGACAGAGCTCAGGCCCGGGTTGAACTCTCAAGCCCTATAACCTGCGCTCTACAAAACAGAGCGGGGATAATCTGTACATTCAGCAGGGGTTCGACGAAAGCTCTGGGCCTGGGTCTATCTAGGCGACTCTGGATGACTGGGATAAATATAACATTTGGCCTCGTTCTACTCAGCTCCTGAACTACAAACATTGACTGCCAAAGATTCTGCAATAAATCACAAAAAATTGCAGGATCTTGGCAATCTATGTTGCAGCCAGATACCTGTTGTTTTTCTCATTTTGAAAGAGCAAAAGCCTGTTGCGCGTAGAAAGATGGCCCTTGAGATATCATAACTGTCAGAGAACAGCAATAGTGACTAGACTGGTCGGCAGAACCATGAATTTCACATTTGATCCGATTTGATCTGATCTCATACATTTCTTGATATGAATCCCGCTGGGACTAGTAGACTGACCGTGTCACCGTGTCTGGGACCAGGATCAAACTTTACAGTTGTCACATTGCCTAAAAGCATTACTTCTGGTCATGATTTGTGTTCATCACATTGATTTCAAATCCTGTTATTTCAAATATTAAAGATCTCAGATTCACTTTTCAAATAAAAATCTAGTCTCAGATAAAGAATATATTTGAATTCTTAGTCACATTTTCATTCTGATCTTATTATTGAAAATGATATTAAATGAGATTATAAAATCATTTCTTACTTATATAATATCATAATATAGTACTCATTTGTTGAAAATTTAATAGAGAGTATTATTAAATATTATTACTTTTCTAAACATAGATTATAATTAATATCATTTTAATTAAAAAAAAATATAAAATATAAAAAATAATAAAAAAATAAAAAATAAAAGAATAAGAAAAAATCACAATAAAAAAAAAAAAAAAGAGAAAGAAAAGAAGAAGAGAAAGAAAAAAAAAAATAAAGAAAAAAAAATAAAAGAAAAAAAAAATAAAAGAAAAATAAAAAAATAAAAAATAAAAATAAAAAAAAATTAAGATTACAGAGCTATAGTATTCTTAAAATACTCATTTCTCAGAGTTTTTATAATATTTATTATTAATTATATATTTCTTATAGTAAGAGTAACACAGCTGTAATAAGTTATTATCTTAATATTATTTAATAAATAATCAGTATATATCTATATAAATGTGAATAATTAGAAAATATACACTTAAAAAGTGTGATCAGAGTGAACTCTGCTGTTACTTAAATAATATTAAGAATAGAATACTGAAATTAATAATTTCTCTCACTGTATTTCTACACAGAAATAACTGCTTCATCACAAACTCGCTTGATTTTTCGAATAAGAACCCGCTAATAGATTCATTGAAAAGCCCTTGATCATATGAGCATTTTGACCTCATCACTGACTGCATACTCTGTGTAATGATGAAGTTATTGAGCCAAACATGAACCAGACATTATTTAAAACTCCTGTGTGAGATTATCCCTCATTCACCTCTATCACATCACAACCCCGGGCCAAATTGCCATACAAATTATAAGATGAAGAGACCTAGTCATATGCATCAATCTTCTTGATTTTGAAAGATTCTCAATCTGTAGTTGTGAAGATATCTGAGAAGTGATCTCTGTGAAAACCCTGTTCATCTTTGATGTTTCAAAACATCAATGCCAAGTCTCACCCTTGTACTGCCCTTTCTAATCTGGCTCATCTCTGACAGAAAAATATAAAAACATACCTCAGTGATAATATCAAGTATATAATCAACAGTCACTTCTGAAGTGTAATCTCTGCAGTCTGTCTTCAGTGTATCTAGACATTAATATTAAGTCTTACTCTTGTATCATCTCTCTCAATCTGGTGCATTTCTGATAGAAAAGTATAAAAAGATATCTCAGTAACTGTACTTGATACATAATCAGCAGATATGATAACTATAAAATCAGTATATTTCAAGATCTGACTGAGCCTTTGATCTCTGCATAGTGAGATATATTAAATCTAGTTTTAATATCTTAATATTCAATAGATTCTGTAAGAAATTGAGAATAGTAATACTAGATTTCTATTAAATTTAATAATTATCTCTATATTGATATAATTATTGATAAAGTCTTCTATTTTGAGATATAAATAATCAGTTCCTCTACATTCTGCTGACAATATTTATATTATTATATAGAAACAGACTTATATTCTCTATAATATCAAGACTCTGAAGAGAGAAAGTCTTGATAGAGAGTATATAGTAGTGTATATCTTAGCAGTTTCTATCTCATTCTTCTACAGTAGTTAATGCAATATAAAAAAGATCTTAGAAATAGTTTTTTACTTCTCTTGAAAAAGTAAGATGTTTTTCTCTGAGTTTTATATAATATTCTTATAAAGAATTAAAAACAGAGTTATTTTCTGTTATAATTTCATATTCTTTTAAGTAAGAATTACTTTTTCAGTAACTGAAGAGCTTTTATTAATACTTAATTCTCTTTTACACTCTTTATTGACTGATTTGAGTTGCACACTTGTTATGTGAGAAGAATTGAATGATTTAGAATAAAATTGAATAGTTTTAATCAATTTCTCTGCAAAAAATTGACTTATTTTTTGTCAGTTTTTCTCTCAAAAACTGTCATATTATCTGATTTATTATCAATTGATATCATACTTTTTCTCACTGTATCTCAAGAAAGAGTTTATAAAGATTTTATTGATTTATCTTAAAAATCACTTTTAGTTTATTAGATTCTCTTCAAAAATCTAACCTAGTTACTGAACTAGTGTGAAAAAAATCAGGTGTTTTATACACAAAAGAGTTTCATTCTTCTTTTAAAACAGTCTGATCAACTTTTCAATTGAAAATAGACTAATAAATCTCTCAACTGAAACAGTCTGATCAACTTTTCATTTGAAAATAGATTAATAAATCTCTCAATTGAAACAGTCTAATTAACTTTTCATTTGAAAATAGACTGATAAATCTCTCAATTGAAACAGTCTGACTAACTTTTCATTCAGTGAGTAAAATGAGTTCAAGAGTACACTCAGTTGATGTGAAAAAAGATATTTTCCCAGATGTCATTTCTGAGATTGAAATTCTAAAGAGAAGAAAGAAGAAAGAAATAGAGAAATATCAAGTTCTTGAAATACAGAAACTGAAAAAAGTAACTAAAATTCTTGAAAAACAGTGTCTGAGTGAGAAGAATGAAGAAGTTCTGTTAATTCTTCATGCTCAGACTAGATAACTATAAGAAGTGATCAAGTTCAAACTTGAAATTTCAAACATAATTCAAAAAACATTGAAATCTTTCAGTACAGTCACTGACTCTTTTTCATCTTCTACTTCTTCATCTTCTTCTTCAAATCAGAAGAAAATATATACTCAAGTAGCAGAATCTACTGTCTTCAAATCTGCTAGTTCAAAATCTGCTCAAAATTCTGAGAAAACTGAGAAGAATATTACTCAGATCTCTGTTCATAGAAAGAAAAAAAAAGAAATGTAAAAAGAGAAGAACTTTCAAATCTTCAGAAACAGAAGACTTATTCTCAAAGTCTCAAATCAGAAGAGCTTGCAAAAAAACAAGCTAAACTCAAATCTTATTTTCAGAATTAGAAATGAAATTAATCAGCAGTTCTTTTCTCAGTTAATGACTGATAATGAAGTTCAAAAATCAGTCATAGCTTCAATTGAGCCATCTTTCTTTGAAAATTCTATTATTTTGACTACAATGTCTGAATTCAGTGCAGAATTCCTCATTCAGAATAAGAATCTCTGAAAATCAGCAATAGAATCTCTACTGAATACAACAATTCTATCTGAAAGAGATGAAAAGTGAGATAAATTCATTCTTCATAATATTTCAGTTCAAATTTTTGACTGTCAGGAAGAAATACTGCTTCTCAAAAATGAATTAGAAGAATACAATTCTATTCAACTGAGAAAAGAGTCTGTATGACTTAATTCAATTGTGTTCAGACAGAGCAGAAGAAATGCCTCTGTTCTAGTGTATATAAAAACACTTGAATAATCAAGAATCTCTGAAGTAAGAGTAGCAGGTTTGAAAATGAGAGTTCATGAATACAAAGATTCAAGAATGAATCTCAAAGCTTAAACACAGTGTTCAAACTGTCAAAGATATGAACACTTTACAATCTCTTGTTTCAGAGACTCAAAATGCGCATTCTGTGCTAGAGATCACAAAACTAGTGAGCATAAATGTGAAACATGCTCAAAAAGAGGTGAAATATGTTAACATACTCTGCTTAAGTGCTTCAATTGCAAAGAAAAACATGCATCTAGCTTAAAAGAATGTGTATTTACTTCAAGAACTCAGAAGAACTAAAGAAAATATGAAGCTCAAAGTGAATCTAAAACTGAAGAGAAAAGTCAAGCTAGTAAATTCACAACTGCAAGCTTAAAAAGAAGAAACTCTCAACTATCTAGATCTTCAAACTTCAATTCTTCAGCTAAATATAAACAGAATTTGAATTCTCAAATATCTGTTAAGATTAGAGAATTGAGAAATAACTCTGATGATAAACTAGATAGAATGCAAGCAGTTGAGATTCCTGCTTTTCAAAATAGTTATAATCTACTATCTGATGATAGTGATTAAATTCTACTATATCTTCACTCTCTTTTAGTATGAATGTACAACAAAAATAACAAAAAAAGTTTAAAAACTCTTTAAAAATCACATTTATTCAAAACAATGTGAATAGAAACTCAAATTGTATTTATTCTTGTCTTCAGATTGTATTTGAATAAAAAGTTGACTTTGTACTTCTTCAAGAATCAAACTTTGATACTGAGTAAAAGTACATCATTTCGCATTCAAGCTATTACTACTTTCTTTCTGAAAAATCTGAGATAAAATCAAGAGTAGCAATCTATGAGAGAAAAAGATCAAGATATTAATTTAATCTGAGATTTGATATCATATCTGACTCTGACATTCTAGTGAGTGACATTATAGATAAAGATAATGAGTTTGATACTATTCAACTTATAAATATCTATAATGAAAAATCATTGAAAGAAAACAACAATATCTGGACAATTGATAGAGGATTATTGAATATAACTTCTTTAAAAAACTCTATAATTGCAGAAGACTTCAATGCACATCATCACTGATGAAACTCAGAGTGCACAAGAGCAGTAAGAGCAGATAAACTAGTTAAATGAACTTTTGAGCATTCAATAGATTTAGTTAACAAGTCTGATCAACAAATATTCTTTAGAAAAGATATGAAACAGAAATCTATTATAGATTTAACTTTCATGTCATAAAATCTAATTGAAAAAAGACTTATAAACTGGTTTATTGATTCAAATGAAATCTCAGAATCAGGTCATGAGATTATTCAATTTAATATTGAACTGAGTGAAAAATAAAGAAGTGAAAATCCTCTTCTCTCTAATCAGTATAACTTTGAAAAAGCTGATTGAAAAGCAGTTAAAGAAAGAGTAAAACAGCTGAAATCTGAAAGACAGAGTGAGCTCTGTTGAAATCAAAGTCAAGATATC